ACCTTGATCCCAGCACATCATTTTTTATCTGGACAGATTATACAATTTTCTGAGAGTTCTCTGCCTCCAGTTTTTCTGAACTCCCATTTACATAGAGATCCTCGTAAAAGACAAATTGGATTCCATTTTCATCTTACTCGAAAGCTCACGGGTCCCACATACCTACCTTCCACCTGCTGTCTTCCAGCTCATTCCTAAACCCTCTTCTTCCTATTCTTTTCTTTTTTAATTGAAGTATAGTTGATTCACAATGTTGTGTAAGTTTCTGGTGTACAGCACAGTGATTCAGTTACATACACATATCTATTCTTTTTCAGATTCTTTTTCATTATAGGTTATTACAAGATATTGAATATAGTCCCCTGTGCTCTACAGCAGTAACTTGTTGTTTCTTCCTATTCTTAACTTTCTTCTCTCCCTGGATCCTTGCATCCACTGGGCACCTGGTGACTTTTCCTTCCTCCTATGTCTTGCCTTTTTGCCTTGCTTTTCATGCCCTCCTCATCATCCTAGTCCAGCCTTACATAGCACATCTGGACTATTCCAGTAATCTCCCAACTGGGGTTTCCCTTTTTCTTCGCTCTTATCCACAGTAAACCATCCAACCAAAACAAGTTGCTTAAATGACTCCTTTGACAAAAGTCTCATTAGCTACAAACAGAGTTCTCACTTCTCAGCCTGGCTTCCCAGACCCTCGCTCTTACACTCCTCCTTCCTAGCCCAGCTTCATCTTTCACCCTCCTCCATGTGCACCCTTCACTCCAGGCAGCTGGGTTACCCTCCACTCCTCCACCGCCAACCACCAGGCCTCTTCCATTCCATGTCTTTCTCATCATCTTCCCTGAACGCCACCCCCACCCCATCTGCCCAGTCGTTAGTCGTAGCTTTCCTGACCCCCGATTTCCATTAGGCCTCAAGCCAGAAATGAGCTCTTCCTCCTCTGAAGTCCCACAGCTTTCAGCACTGAAGTGGGGCTTTCTCTGCTCAGCTCTGCTCTCATGGTCCTCAGTCTGTTCTGGGCCTTTTTGGATCCCAACGCAATTTGCAATCACCCTGACTTTCCACTTCGCCTTCCAACCCCACACACTCAGTAGTTCTGAAACACAGCCTCCCACCTGCGTCTCTCCCCACTCTCTGTGACACCTGTCTCAGGGACTCAGTGAGAAGCAAGGAGCTAATGTTCAGGAAATTTGCGGCCCTCCTGTGCTGAAAGGTTCCATCTTCATTACTCCCGGAGACAGAGTGTCCCCATGTCCGTTGTGAAAGCAGACGCCGCTGTGCCTTCGCAGCTGCCGCCCCAGAGCAGCAGGAAACCATTCTCTCAGCCCACTGTTCTCTTCGTTTGACACTCTCTCTTAAATACACCATTTTTCTCATTTTCATTAATAATCCTTCTTTAACACCTGATCAGCCTTGCTGTCTGCTCTAGGTTAAAGCCTATTATACCATTAGAGTTTGACATTTGGAATTCAATGAGGCATTCATGCACAGGGAGTGCTAATGGGGAAAATGGCTTGAATCAGGGCTTTATGCACCAGGAAGTTTGGAAAATGGGAGGGGTGGAGGGTGGGGCAAAAAACCTCAGAAGGCTGCTTGTGTGCCAGCCGCGCGGTCGGGGGGCTGAATCCAAAACAAGCTGTGTCACTGGTGATGGGCTTTGGACACAGATGTGACCTTTTCTGCCACCTGGGGATATTTATCAGGCAAGTATGCCTCCTAGATCATGTGTATAGAAAGACTTGGGGAAGCCTAAGGGAAATTAGGCAATAGACCTGATGACAAGTCAGTGAGCCTAAAGAAATGTAATTGAATAGGTCTGCCTTTGCTGCCTCTGACTCTCAAGAGTCAGGGCAGCCAGTTATTATGGGGACCTCGAAGCATCCTCTGGTATTGTCCACCATTCTGGCCCTTTGTGGGGCGTGTGAGCTGACAGTAATTATCAAGACTAGAGTGGCCACAGAAGTAGGGTCATGCAGCCAGTCTTCTCTCCCAGTTTTCCTTCCTAAACCCATCAAGCAAAAATAACTATTTATCCTTGATTTACTTATTCACTTATGATGTATTCAACACAGGCTTACTGAAGACTTACAGCATGAGAGCTGGATCTATCCCTCCCCTCGTGGAACTCATAGCCCTTATAATTTCCACTTTCACCTTCATGTGGAATATACCTCCTCCCTGTGACAAGGGGAAATGTCATCTTCAATTTTCAGATGCAGAGAGAATGAAATCTCAGTGGGTATGAAAACTGGGGCTTGCAAGAAATACACATTTCTTTAATTTGTTGTAATCAACTTAACTCCAACTCAAATCTCCACCTTACCAGGCCAGAGAGCAATTCAGTCAGACATCACTGGCAACATACGTTGCTAGAAAAATGGAGGCAGGGACCAACATTTAGCTCATCATGGCTATCAATATCATCCTGATCAGTCAAGCCCATTGTGGTCCCTGGAGATACAGTAGCCCTCTGCTTCTCAGACAGGGAAGGAGGGGGCAGGGCACAGCCATTCAAGGAATGACACAGCAATTAACACCAAGATGGCGGAGAATTCAACTCCCAGTCAGCCTTGAGATCCAGGATGGTGGGACATTTTACTTCCAGTGTACTTGAGCTTCATTATATGCTCATTGTAATACATTAGCATGCTGAATGGCACTCCCACAGGCGTCATGACAGTTCCGAGGCTGACCATGAAAGGTCAAGAAGTGGGCAGTGGCTCAGTTCCTCGGAATCCCACCTCCTTCCCTGAAGTAGTTGGAATAAGCCCCTCACTTGTTAGTATATAAGTTACTGAGCCCATAAAAATTAGCAACCCCCACACCTCATGGCCTCTCTCCCTTCTGAGTAAGATGGCCCACACTCTGTGGAGTGTGTGTCTACCTTTACTTTGAAATAAGCACCCAACTCCCACACCTCAGAGCCTTTCTCTGGCCTTCTGAGACAGCCTGCACTCTGTCTATGGAGTACGTATCTCTCTGAATAAATCTACTTTTACTCATCTGTGGTTCAGTCTTGAATTCTTTCCTGAGCGAAGCCAAGAACCCACACTTAGGAAGGTGCGTCCCAGAGATTCAACTGATACCTGGGACAGGGCCATCCTCTCGCCCCACATTTTCCTGCATCACTTCCATGCCACACACATATGGGGCCCCGAGAATCTTAGCTGAGGCTGGGACTCCTGGTGCCTAGAGTCCCACCTTCCCAGGCTTGTTCTACGGCAGCCCCTCTGAGCCACTGCAACTTTCCAGGCTGCTGCTGTGAAGCCAGTTGTGGGTTCATGATGAAGGTGAAACATCTCAATTTCTGGAAACCTCTCCCTTCCCTATTGAGAACACCAGGTATCATCTTTTCAGTTTAGCTATTCCAAAAGAAGAAAAGAGATACTGACTTTCAGCAGCTTGTTTCCACACAGCCAAAAAAATCTCTAAATCCTTGATTCCAAGGCACACCAAGGGCTTAGCAATCTGCTCAAAAGGAAGAAGGAAAAATCAAGAACAAACAGCAGTCAACTTAGCAGTCAAACTGATCATTCTGCCACAGAGATGAAGAACCTGAAAGGCTGGGAAGAGTTCATCACCTTGAGCTCTACCTCCAAACCCGGGATGATCATACACCCAGCAAATGCGGTGGCAAATATTAGGAGTGCCTGCTGCTCACGGCTGCCTCCCATCCATCAGTAGATCCTGAGACTTACAATAATGTGGAACTGTGAGAATCCTTCTTTGAGGTTAGCCACATGCGGAGGGGAACACATGCATCTAACCGTCATCCCCCACCAGGCCCCCTGCCACTAGTATGACATCATTCCCATTCCTCTCAGACCAGAGAGTACTGCGAGCTGATCCCCACCCCCTTTTCAGCGCTTCTCTTGCCATATCTTCCTGAACCTAGTCTGCGCTTTTTTTTCCAATCTCCAAACCCCTCAGTTCTTTCTAGGGCAACTAACTGAGGTGCTCATTGGGCAAAGCCAAAGAATTCTGAGCATCCCTGCTCAGGTCACCTGTGACCTCTGAGCCCTGAAGCCAGAGTGCATGAAGAGAGGGTGAGTGTGGAGGAGAGGAGGGAACTAGCAACCGTGAATTGGGCTGCCAACTTTTCAGGTTGGAGGGGAGCTGGAAGAGTCTAAGGATGTCGAAAATCCATTTCGAAAGGTCAGACTGGTGGACTGGTGGATCTACTCCGTGACTTTATTAACAATGTGTACAGACCTTGTTATATGCCATCAGTGTGGAGTCCCTTCCAAAGGAAACAAGAAACATAACGCATGTTTTCAGTGTTCAAAGAGGCTGCACTTAATACCGGAGAAAGGGCACATGCACAGATACCTAAATGCCAGTAAGGATCATGACAATGACTAATATAAACTGAACACTTATAAAGTGCTGAGTGCTGTGCTAAATATTGTTACGTTAAAGCAGTATTTTCTGTACTTGTCACAGCATCCTTCTATGGTAGGTATTCACATTAGCCCCAACTGCAGATAAGAAAACTGAGGCACAAAGTTTTTTTTTTTAACTTGACCAAAATCCTCTACTATAAAAGTCTAATCCAACAATAGCTCCTAACAATTCATGACACCTATATTTCTAAGAGTAAAAAGGTAGAAATTATGTAACTATTCAACCATAAAGGAATGTTAAATTAATTACAAGGGAACCATATGATAGAATATTGTGCAGCCATTAAATTCATCTATTGAAGAAAATAAAATCACACAGGAAAGTGCTGATGATTAATGTGAATACAAAGCAACAGGACAGAAAAAATGTGTATGCTATTTAATACCCGTTATATGTGTTGGGGGGAGGGGGGAAGGGAGGGAAGGAGAAAGAAGGGATCAGAAGGAAATAAACCAAATGTTAATCAAGTGTCAAAACTTCAATCTGAACACTTCAAATATGTGCAGTTTATTGCATCTCAGTAATACCTCAATGAAGTCGTCTAAAAATGTTAACAGCGGGATTTTCGGATGGTAGAATCATGCATGATTTTAGGGTTTTTTATTGTCCAAATATCCTACAAGGATGATACACTGCTTTAATAAGAGTGGAAGATTCATGTTAATTATAAAAAAAAAGAAGAGTTTATAAAGGGAGCTCTGAGAATAATAATGAAGAAGAATATTCTGATTTAACTGATATGGGGCGGCACCCCAGTATATTTGTGTTGTCTTATCTCCCCAGGGATGGGAACCACGGAGGTGCTCGGAGCACCTGGCCCAGCTGCCTGGTGGTACTTGATGCCTGATAAATCATGGCTATCATCATCATCACTCTTGCTGCTGTTCTGTTCCTCAGCATTACTGGTATGTTTACATTCTCATATTAAATGGGTTGAAAGAAAAAAGTCTAGGTGGAGCAGATGGCTCAGACATTGGCAGATTCTGTGGAAACTTCCATGAGTAATCAGGTGTTGGAGCTGGTAATATTTTCTTGTCATGGACCCTGTCAGAAGCGTTCATCTCCCTGGGCCTGTGGGAATCGTAATGCAGAGCACTTTCAGACTATCAGTGTATAAAACTACAAGGAGAAAAGTTTTTACTAAAATTAACGATGCCAGGCCAGCCACAAAGAAATCCATCTCCCAAGTGACATGCTCAGCAGAGCTGTGCCAACTTCTGTAAAGGATGTCTAGACAATCTGACTTTGAAATACACACCCCACACCCAAACAGCCTGAATTCTCCCAGCCGGTGCCCGGCCAAAGTTCAAAGCCAGAAACCACGCAGGAAAAGAGGATTTGAAGATTATAAATAAACTTATTCATAGGGAAAGCGGAGCGAGTCTAGCCAGCTAAAAATTGATTGCCCAGAGAGGATGACTCATCAATGAGACCATAAAAGACCGTCTTGCAGCCATCACGCAGCAAGACAGTTCATTGTCCTTAAACATTAACTGCCTGTCACACCAGGCCTCCCATCAGCAGATTGCAAAGCCCAGAGCTGGCCTCATTAAGCTTCCTAGACAACCCCACCCCGCAATAATAGCAATCCACTTCTCTCTCTTTTTGAATCTCCACTTAGCAGCAAAAGGAACCTCATCAAAACTCAATGCCCTAGATTAGTAGTGCGTCAGCCAGTTGAAAGGATTTGGCCTGGGTCAGTTCAGCTGCCTGATCACTTGAAGACATCACATTTTTTAGATGAATATTTCAGGATTAAAGATTTCCACTGGTGAATGAGTTCAGGCCAAAAGCAACCTGAGACAGTCTCCTGAGATGCTGCAACCTGAAATGCCAAGGCAGTGGGAAAACCGCTTCTGCTGCCTTAATCATCTCTCTTGAAGCATCAGAACAACACAGGACAATGCAGCTATGTCTTTTGTAGAACTGTGATTTCCTGCCACCTGCTTCTGCGGGATGGTAGGTGTGATTTCAGACATTCAAATTTTATCTCTAGAGCCTTGAGGTTGTATTACAATGGCAAGCCTCTAGGTGATACAGAGATGCAAGGGCACCAAGAATAAATTATGAAGAAAAGCAACAGAAATGCCATTCACCCCACAGACAACTCCTAAGCCCTGCCTGTGAAAATATGCTGTGATCACTGGGTTCGGGAGCTGAGACAAGCATCAATCCTTTATTAAGGAACTCAAGGCCTGCAGAGACGGATAATGTGGGCTCGGACCTAAAATGATAGATGGGAAATGGTGAAGTCACACAGGAAGCACAAGTATATAAACTGTTCGGATGGAGAGAGATGACTTCTGCCCAGTGCGTGGGTCAGAGGAGACTCTGAGTAGTTGACGGTATTTGATGGATAAGACGGGAACATCTCTGGACATCAATACCTCATACCACAAGAAGTCTGAGGTCCTTTCAGAGGGCGTGTACCAGCATGGGACCAGCTAAGCCTAAATAAGGGTCAGGAGAATGACTACTACAGGCTAGTCAAGGGTCACAGAAAAGTCACCGAGAGTGGCCAAGTTCAGGGACAAGTCACCCAATATATGCACAAGTGACTGCGAGGACCAGAATCTAATATATCATCTGAGATACTAGCTGGCAAGGACTGGTAAAGAATAAAGAAGACTGGTTAAATATACGCAGCACATCTGTGCAGCATACTGTGATTCATTCATTAAAAGCA